AAAAAAAAAAAAAAGAAAAAAGAAAAAAAAATAAATCTTTATGGATACACATTATCTATAAAAGTAAATGCAAGTATTTGTGTAAGGGAGCCCAAGCTCCATTACTTCCGTAGTAAATCTGTCTCTGCGTGATTTTTGTAGTTTTCTCTATTTATCCAACGTACCTTGTCTACAATGAGCACGAATTACTTTGGAAAGAACGGAAGTTATTTTTAAACAAAAGTATAAATTATTGAATCGTTTTATGCCAGCCGGGCTGCCAATCTACTCGTAGATTTTTTTTTGTCATGATTATTAAAGATGGTTTCTAATCTGGAGGACTCCCGAGTTTGAGTTCCTGTTTTCATGTATGATGCATTTGCAGACAGTTGCTCACAAAATTCCTACCTTGAACTTACCCTTGAATTTTATTTGCTTACATGAAGCACCATAGATAAATATCCTAAAATAAGAGGAAATTCAGTCAAATAATTCCTTGTGCTTTATTTCAAACAAAAACAAGTATAACCTTGTGTTTTACTTCAGACAAAAACCACAACTACACAAATCCATGGACATCAGTGTGCTGACTTTAGTAACCCAGCTTAAATGGGTTCACTTAACTGGTTACTTCCTCTCCCCCAAAGAGTTGTCTCTGTATTCATATTCTTTCTAATAGCATGATCCTTTCCTCACTTTCTCACAGTCATAGCGCTTGAACACTTTAACCTGGAAAACCTGCCTTCAGCTGAAGAATTTCTTCCGTAACGGGAAGTGATTGTGTATGAGAAGTTCTATACTGCTTCACTTTATCCTCTCAGGTGACAAGGAAGTACATGACTAACTGTAAATGATTTGGGGACAGTCCCCGTAAATTCTTCTTGGTGAATAAACTGTTGAAGGGCACCCTGAGATGAAGTAGAAAGAAGGCGTTTTCTTACCTTTGGAGAACATGCATTTCTGTGACGTGGCACAGCCTCTGGGGTGACCCTTTTTGGATCAGGAGAAGCACTTCTTTCAATCAGATCCCGGATTTTCTTGTCCAGCTCCATGCTTTCACATCTGCCCAGGAGGACAAGGGAAAGTCACAGTTTACAAAGGTAATTAAAAATTATTGGGGCAGCGCCTGGGGCTCATTATTCAAGGGTGCAGTGAGTCTGTGAATGACATGGAAGTGTTATTTGTATATGATACTGTTCTGGAATCTCCCAAACTCTAATCCCATTTTGTTTTCATTAGTCCATGTGATAAAGTCACTTCGGAAGAGTATTTTAGAGTTCAGTTTTCCTTACTTGCACACTCATACAAAGTGGTAATGAAAGACACAGACAAGATTAGAGATTGTCATAGTATGACAACAGTGACAAGCATTGAACACTCACGGTGAGCCAGATACTTTGATACAGTTTTTTTTATTTCTTTTTTTTTGAGACAGAGTCTCATTTTGGCACCTCGGTAAGTGCTGTGGTGTCATAGCTTGTAGCAATCTACAGCTCTTGGGCTCAAGAGATCCCCTTGCCTCAGCCTCCCAAGTAGCTGGGACTACAGGCACCCAGTACAGTTTCTTATTCAATGGGCATAATAACCCATTAAAGTAGTCATTGTCCCCTGCATTTTATAGATAAACAAAGTTGAGTGGGGGGTTAACTAACTTACTAACTTAGATGAGGTCAAACCATGAAACACTGGTAGGCCAAGATCAAACTCAGATCTATAGAATGCTAGAACCTGTCTTAACCATTTTTGTTGTGTATCATCAATTAACCTGAGTACAAATCCCTAAACAATTGCTGCCAAATAGATATATTATGTTATAGTCAAAAAGTATTTGGAAGCTACTTAAAGTGAGTCTAGTCCAATGGCTTCATTTAGCTAAGAACCAGAGCGATCCGCTTATAGTCACATTCACTGATAGCACTAAGATTTAAAGCAGACCTTCTCCCAAATCAGATTTTTCTCTCCTTTTATATCTTGTTTGCATGATGGAGAAATTTTCTCTTTAAGAATGTAACTCACTAGAAAACTGCATTAGTTGTATAATTTTTTGAATACTTTTTTTGTCTACCTCATCTTATCTCATGCCCTAAAAACAATCCCTTGGACTAGGGAAAGAATTGTTACAGAAGAACTCCTCAAAGCTGTCTCCAAAAACAATAAATATGTAGATGAATGGCCTGATCATAAGTCTGCCTGATCTGCCACCTTCTTTGAGAGTGACTTTCAGGGGTGGGCTTTGATGGTCATGCTTGCTGGCTTGCTGATGTGACTTAACCTTGCTTCCTTGGTTATAACTGATTGAAACAAGAATAAACCACTGATTCATCTTAGCCAGTGAGATGCTCTTCTGTGTGCAGAATGAGCTGAAAATGAAGCAGATGGGTAGAGAAGTGCAGAACAGAGAAATGGAGAGAATCTTGACAATTTTCTAGTTCAGAATCAGCATTTTCTAAGGTCTAGCTGCCTCCCTACCCTTGGATTCTGTAAACCACTCCATGTCTTTTTAATGAATTGTCTGTAACTTTTTCTTTAAAGCTAGCTTTGCTTGGTTTCTGTTATCTATAATAAAAAAAATCCCTTGGGCGGTGCCTGTGGCTCAAAGGAGTAGGGCACCAGCCTCATGTGCTGGAGGTGGCAGGTTCAAACCCAGCCCTGGCCAAAAATTGCAAAAAAAAAAAAAATAAATAAATCTCTAAACATGCACTTTGACCTTCATTATTTATCTTTGTTTTTTAGGCTGTGAAATGTCCCACATATGATCCATTTTAAGAGACAAGGTGCTGAGTCTGCAGTAAATCCCTCATGGCCTCTAAATCTATACACGCCTAGATTGAGTTTGGACATATCTTCAAGGTTTCTCCTAGCCCTGAGATCACAGCATTTCTTTAATAACTGCCCTAAATCTTTCAGATGAATTAGATACCCAAAGAACAATGAAATGGACTAGACAGAATGTTCAGCTCGTGATGTAGCTTTCTGATCTATTACTGGTCTGCCAAGAGGGCACAGTAGCTCTGACCTTACACCCCTCTGTGACAAACGTGTTGCTGAGGCGTTTCAGACCTCAGACAGGATCCTTTTGAGATGATCCACTCTGATCTCCAAGCCCCGATGCTGTGGGCTGCTTGCCTTCTTTCTGATCCTCATTTTGTGCTCACTTCCTCCCTGCTTTTTTTCCTTCCAGACATGTTTGCCCATCACACTTGATCAAACGTGCCAAGTGTAGTTCCCACTCTAGGCTTTGGCATTTGTTCTTGCCTTTGTGTGACTTCCTCCCTCCCTTCGTTCAGGCCCTGGCTCTCATGTCACCTTACTAAGAAAGCCTCTGCTGGCCGCTCTAACTGAACTGGCTCTCTCAGCACCATCATTATTGTCCCTTAATGATGTTTTGTTTTCTTCTTTGAACTTTTTATCATTTTAATTTCTGGTTTACATATTTTTCTTCTCCTTCACCCCCATGTGTGTCCTGCATATGTTTTGTGAAAGAAGGACCTTTGTCTATTTGATTCTCTGCTGTCCCCTAGCACTGCAGTCCCCAATCCCTGAGGCATGGAGCAGTACTCTGCTCTGTGCCCTGTTAGGAATCAGGCCACATGGCAGGAGGTGCACAGTGGCGAGGGAATGAAGCTTTATCTGTATTTACGGCCACTCCCCACTGCTCACATCACTCCCTGAGCTCCGTCTCCCCCAGATCAGCAGTGGCCTTAGAGTCTCACAGGAGTGCGAACCCTACCATAAATTGCACCTGTGAGGATCTAGTTCTGGGTTCCCTCGGATTCAGCATTATGATGAGTTATAGAATTATTTCATTATACATTATAGGGTAACAATAATAGAAATAAAATGCACAGTAAATGTAATGTGTTTGAATCACCATGAAACCATTCCCCTTTCCACCCAAGTCCAGGAAAAACTGTCATCTATCAATCTGGTCCCTGGTGTCAAAAACTTTGGGGGCTATTGCCCTAGCACGTAGTAGGACCTCAGTAAGTACTTGTTATCAAGTGAGTGTGACTCCATGATGAGATTTAACTTGTGACATCTAGCCATTAATTCAAATCTGACCATTAAGTTAGATGCTTATCTAAAATGTATGCAAATAACCTCAAACTCATAGGACTGATAAAAATCGAAATGCAAATCATTAGGCAAGGAAACACTAACAGCAACTTCAGAATGGACACGTGAGCTCAGCTGTTACTACCTTCATGGCTGCCTTGTTTGTGTTCTTCAAAATTCAACACTAATTGAGTATTCACTATTTGAAGGTAATGACTTTTCATAGAAATAACCACATGCAGAGATTCTCAAACTGTTTCAGCCTTAGTAGGGAGCATGTTCAGAGGCCAACAGTTACCCTTCCCTTTTCACTTGGCCAGGTGGTGAAGGTTTGGCCTCAGAGCTGAGGCTCTCACCCCGTTTTGCAGACATGGTTCTGCACATGTCCATGAGGACCACAGCCACAGGGGTGCCCTCATGGAGATGGTGGGTTTCTGGACTTTGTAGGGACTGAGGCTCAGGGTGCTGACCTCAGCATCATTGCCTTTGGCCGCTCTAGGAAGATGTCAAGTGACAGCAAAGAGAAGAGACTCACTTGGTGGTGCCAGGAGGTGGTGAGCTTTGGTCATACCTATGGAGAGAGTGGGTCTCAGTGATGACCACTGTGGCAGTAGAGGGATCGAGCACCCAGGAACCCAGCTGGGAATTGGAGGGACACAAGACGGAGCCCTAAGGATTATACTGCAGGTAGGATTTGCACTCACTTTCTTTTCTCATTGCCAGCATTTTTCCATTGTCACTGTCACGCTAATGGGTATGCCTCTGACTTACACATGAAGCCAAGAGGCACTGTGATGCAGTAAGAAGTAAATAGGCTGTAAAGGTGAACGTGACAGTGGAAGCTGGTGTAAGTCTCTTACCTTCTGGGAACCCTATTGGTCTGGAGTGTAAAAAGAAGACAATGTAGGATTAGTGATACCATGAGCACCATGCCTAGCACAGTCCTGGGTAATTAGATGCTCAGTAATTGCTACTACTGTTTTTATTAGTCTCCAAACATTCTACCAAACAAATTTGGAAAGTGGGAGCCATGAACTTAGTATGTTACTTAAAAAAAAAAAATTTAAAAAGCAAAAGATTTCCGTTTGTTCAAAGATAATCAAAAAGTTTAGTCATCCCTTAAATAAAGAACAACCATGTCACCTATTTGACTTTTGGAACATCCTCACCAAATCGTTTGGATTATCCTTTAATTAATGTAAGAATTTAGTATGTGAAAATATTTTTACCCCCCTGGTTTTAACCAGTGAAATTCATTATGCTTCATGAATTTCACTTTGCTCTAGATTTATTTCACAAAAGAAAGTATTTATCAAGGTTCATTTTTCCCTAAAAAGTTCAAAATTCTGACAATTGAGAAGCAGAATTAATGAAAGTTTATAAACCCTGCTTTTTTCTTCAAATCACTTAATAATTGCATCCAGCATAATTGTACTCTTACAGTAACACTAAGATCTGAGGTTGGCAACAGAATAGAAAAGGAAAAACACCCTACTAACCTAAACACAAACAGAAAAATCCTGTATTCATTCTACTAGGTCCATATCTCCACCTTGGCATCTGTTCCCTGAATCTGCTCAGTGGATTAAGTGTGTATTATGACTCTAGTGGTCTTTGCACCAGTCCTAGCTAGCCCTTACTCATCTTTATTTTTCAGCTAGGAAACTTAAGAGTCAGTGGGGTTAAGTACCTTCTTTAAAGTTACTTGACTGATGATGGGTAGGGTAAGGGTTCATGCTGAAGCAGGTGGCTTTTCAATCTACCGTTGAGCTTATAGTGATGCTAGGAATTGTTAGTACAGCAGAGCCATGGAGGGCTGTGTTAGTTCCAAACAATTTGTTTTAGATTTTCCATGTTGACAGGCACTTCTCCTTCAGGTTTAGAGAATACAACTTACTGGTGCCTCCAACTTAAATGTAGGTGGCTTGTAAAGTCAGATGTTAGCAGAAGCTTGAGAGAGATGAGATAAGGATCAGGAATTCGCTCTTGCTCTATTTGTTTTTCTTGTAATGTCTTAGTTTTTAAGTTGTGAGTTCTTGAACACTGGCCTTGGATGGGATTCAGGGAGTCTGTAAATCATCCCAAATGAAACTAAATAAAAAATTATGCATTTATTATTTCTTTCTGAAGATAAGGTCTATAGTTTTTATCAAATGCATTTCCCACTAGAAGGCTGGAACACGCTGACCAAACTTTTGCTTTTGTTACTGTCATGAGTGATGACTTTAAAATCAAATTTCACTGTAGCCTTTTTTTTTTTAATCTAAGAGCTTTCTCTCTCTCTCTCTTCCCTCCCTCCCTCCTTTCCTCCCTCCCTTCCTTCCTTCCATTCTCTCTCCTTCTCTCCCTCCCTCCCTTCCTTCCTTTTCTCTTTCTTCCTCCACTCTCTATCTCTCTTTTCCACGGACAAACCATAAAAATTCAGAAATGGATCTTTAAATCAAAAACAATTACTAAAATCTTTATTTGAGGTGGACTCCTTACTAAATTGCAGGTGAACAGAGAATTATAGGAGGCAACATTGTTAGGCTAAGGGTTCAAGGGGAGGGCGACAGAGTTTAAGGACACTTGCCAAATCCTGTTAGGCCCTTGGTTTATTCACAGCTTACTTTAAACTTATACAGACAAAAACCTCCTTTGACTTAATCCCTCCTTCCTACCTTTCACTCACAAGAATAAATCAACACAGAGAGTAAATAGAAATATTGCCATGAAGTAGATTTTACCAATAGGGTGGTTGGTTAAGCCAATTTGACAAGAGAAATTAAAAAAAATTAGTTTCCCATAAGTTACGCAAGATTGTGAGCTGTTTATCCCTAGACTAACACTGGGATGTAACAATCTGTCTTGTAACCCCAGTGAGCAACCAGGAAGGACAGGGAAAGACACAAGAATGACTTTCAGGTACTTTGGGAGCCCTCATACTTGTATTACCTGTTCAAAGGTCTCAAGTACAAAAATTTCCAAAAAATTACCTAAAGGATGCAGCATGTCTTTGAACATGTCCAAGGCTTGGACATGGTTTGTCCAGGGTTTGTTTGCTTAAATTTCACTAGTTGATTAGGGCCTATGCATTCTAACTCATAGAATCTTGTCTGGTAGAAAAGATCACCTCAAAGGTTATGGTTTACTGCTTTGTAGAGAAGATTTGTATCTAATCTAACCATCTTATTCTAATGTTCCTTTACTGAATTGCCTGTATATACTCAGCTCTTCAAATCCTCTTTGATGAGCCTTCTTTTCTTTGTCGATACTTAATTAATGTTAACTTAATTAACTATTAATTAATGAGTTGAATAAAATCTTGGGTATATCTTCATTTTGTGTTTTCTTGAAAGTCGTGTTTTTAACATTTTGTAACCTGTATGTTAAGACCCCCTAGATATGGGTACTTTCTGGCCATGGATTCTATAGTTGACTTTCATGACACATGGTGAACATGCAGCCTCAAACCCCCAGACTTGGTTTTATGGTTCCCTGGTATGGTTGGCTCATTAGTATTGGCAAGTAGTATACATTCCTGAAGAAAAAGACTATACTCAATAGACAAAACAGATAACCACAATCTTGGAAATAACCCGAGGATGATTAGTTCATCTCTTGCATTTAGGATGACAGGGAAATGAGGCTCAGGTGGGCGAAATGACTGTTGACAGTCAAGCCAGGGCAAGAATTCAGGATGCCAGCCTTCTTCCTTCCCCCACACGCCCACCCTCCTCAAATGTCCACGTGTCCACCCAGCCCACCACCAGAGTCACATTTTCTGCTTTGATCTTATGTCATAGGTCATTCTGTTTAGAAAAGATTCTAAAATATAAATATCATTTAAAAATATAAGACAAAGAAAAATTGGTAGTAGGTTCTTCTCTAATGGAAGTGTTTCCAGATGTTCAAAGACCAGGAATTCTGGTGACCCAGAATGAGAAGTGTTGTCTAAAAGATTCTAATCCAATAGCGATTTTCAGGTTTTACTTTTTGTTCTTATGATTAATACTTTCAGTTTTCTTCTGGCTCTTTGGGGAGAAAGAAATTACTTGACGGGGAAATTATTCTGTATATGTGTGTTTTAGATGATTAAGTTCAGGTATCTTAATTATTTTAGTAATTGGAAATATTAACAGTTGGGGCTTAAAAAAGTAGTCAAAGAGAAAACTGTTGCTCAGAGATTTTTTAAAGTAGCATTGTCCTTGTGCAAGAGTGACTGTTCCTGAAGTTTAACCCAAAGTTGTGTGGTTTAATAACTTCAATAAATGCTTAAAAATGAAATGAAAGCCCAAAGGATAGGGGCACGTTTCTGGCAAGCATGGACTTTCTTTATTCTGCTTTCTTGGCTGGCTTTCTGTTTATTTCCTCTTTGCTTTTTGGATGTTCCAGGTCACTGTGCTGATGCTGCACACCCGAGCCAGACTTCCTGTGTCTGTGCCCAGGAGGACTGTGGCAGCCAGCTTGGAGCAGACAGAGAGTGCAGCTGCAGGTGTTGGTGCAAGACCCACTGAAAGGTTAGCAGTGAACAAAGTTCTGTAAAAATCACATTCTCCTACAGGTATCCCACTGATGTAGGTTTGGCCTCCGTATCGGGACTGTTCTGCATGTGTGCTGCAATCTTGTTCACAAAGCAGAGTGACAGATTGAAACAGAACCTTGAGCCTATGAATACATGTGTTTGGACAGCAGATACTCTGACACATGAATGTCTTGGCCTTTTTGCCTGGCTGCAGTCTACCCATCCTCCAATTCTCACTGTTAGTGCGGGAGGGAAACTGAACTCCAGATGGAAGAAGATGCTCCTACTATGTGTTTCCATAGCAACCTGTTTTACTTCCATTATGCAGCTTGTTACATTTCATTGTACTATAATTGCCTGCTTACTCACATTTATTCTTCATTGGCTGGAGTGTCTCAAAAGTTGCCCACGAAGTCACCATACATAGGGCAAGTGTACCTTACATACATTGTAGCTACATACATTGTAGCTAAGTGTACCTTCAATTACAAACTATTCATTACATGAGACTGTCTCAAAACAACAACAACAACAACAGATTCTCCTTGGAAATGTAAGGATAAAACCTTAACTGAAGGCAACTATTACTTCCCTAACAACTCTCAGAGTGTTTCTTAACAGAAGCTCAGAGAGAAATGCTGCCACATTAGATTTCCAATAATCACAATATTTTCACTAGTATTTCATTGTTATCTTTTAACTATGTATTTAAGTAAAAATTATCATCACAAAAAGCATTACTATCTTACAATTATCCTCTTAACTCAAACCAGTATTGTTAAAACTGAAGATCATCAAGGCACATATTTGAAAATTTTTTTTCCTTAAGAAACAGCTATTAATAAAATAATTGCATACAAATTCACTTAAATTATAATAAAGATGGTCAGAAATATATATAATTTTTATTACTATGTTTTAGGTATTAAATTATTTAGTCACAGCATGCTTTGTAATTGTATGAAAATTTTATAATGGACATATTTTGGATTCCTATTTAATTAATTGTTGAATTATATTTATTTGAAACATGAATTTATTGTGATCTTTTTCACGTCTGTTATGGAATTTCATTTCAAGACATGATTATAATTCTTTATTTTGTTTCATCAGTGTTTTTTGAGTCTGGGTCTTCAAATACAGGGTCTTCAAATGTAGACCGGCAGCTGAGGCGGTTTTCCAATCCCAATCTACACCTGAGTTCATTTGCTGTTGGAAATACTGCATCAATTTAGTGACGCCTCTAGAGGGCACTCTGTAATCAGTTCAGGGAGAAAGTTTCTGACGCTGCTTACACTTTTTCTTAAGGTTTTCTTTCTGAATTTTGAGTTGAGGAAGGGTAAAGGTTAGGGGGCTAGAGGATATGTGGTGAACATGTGAGTAGTAATTATAGCTTATTTGTTTTATTTATTTTAAAGCTTTTAATAAAAATTCTTTCTTTCGTTTTCTTTTCCTAAAATATGGAATGCATCATGAATTTGTGCTTCATCCTAGCACAGGGGCCCTGCTAACTCTTCTGGATTGTTCCAATTTTCGGATATGTGCTGCTGAAATGAGCACATTTTTTAAAATAAAGTTTTTCTTAAGTTGCGATTATTGTTGGACATTTACATAATAGACTTACATCAAATGGTTTCCCTCCTAATGCAGAAGCTTTTCAGAAACAGTTCTAATTAAATACATAGAATTACCCCACGCATTAAAATAAACAATCATGATTTGATTCATCATATTTTGTACTGCCTCTAGCAAAAACCAGCGCAAAGGATCTGAGGAAAGGTGGCTTGTTCTCTACTAGCTAGATGAAAAGACTGGGAAAGTGCCACCAGAACATGAGACATTACATTGTCGTATGTAAGCTAGCTTTATAAAAAAATTGCAATAATCCATATTCATTCTTGACTTTTGTAGTGTTCACATGAATGTGAGATCGATGAGCCTGGAGTTTTTTTTGTGACAGAAATTAGGAAGTACTCAAAGAGTTGATCAAATATGGCACACTTCGAACATCAAAATATTTAATATGTAATGATAAGAATGCATTATAATTCATCAAAATAGGAATTTTCAAATACACATAAATGGGGATCATATAAAGCTTTTCTTAAATTGGAATGCCTACCAATAAATGGAGAGCAATTATGGAATTTGACATACATGACACTATATGATAAACAGCATATTAACAATTCAAATAAGAAATGTCAATGGATGCTAAAACTAGGGGCTGAAAATATGATGAGGAATGATATATTTACATAATTTCATACTGCCCCCCCAATACTTAGTGAATACTAAAGGAAATACTAAAGAATAACTTTACACTAGAGTATCTTGGCAGATGCCACCATAATCAAATGAGCAATGATAAAGTCACCTATAATAAGAAAAACCCAAACTGTGACCATATGTATTAAAAGAAACAGCTTCACATCTGTGGTCTAACCAGAACTCAATTATGAGGAATCATTAGTCAAAAGTAAAGTAAGAAACATTCTATAGAATACCAGGCATATAATCTTCTAAAGTGGTGGGTCATGAAATTCAAGCCAAAACTGAGGAAATTCTCCAGATTGCAAGAGACTAAAAATCATAAAAATCTAAATGGAATATATGATCCTGGATTGGATCCTTTCTTCTGTGGAGTACCTTGACAGCATAATTGGAAAAATCCAAATGGCGTTTAAAGATTAGATGGTGCTACTGTACTGATGTTTCTGATTTTGATGGCTATCTAGTGGGGACTTGGACAATGTCCTTGTTTGTAAGACATGCTATGTCACCCAGTGGTAAATAGCTTTCAAATGGATGAAGAAATATATTTTTGTTACTTCTTAGAGATTTTTGGTAAGTTTGAAATTATTTTAAAAGTGCAAGAGAAGGTACTTAAAATATTAAACTTAATAATGAGATCTAAATTGCTCAGTGTAGAAATCACTTTATAAAAATTAAATCAGCATTTCATCATATGTCAGGAAATAAGATGAAGTCCAATAAATCTTCCTTGGAATTTGTGAAATTTGTTCAAACCAAAGCAACTAAGATGATTTAGTGTTTTGTTTTGTTTTTCTAAAAGGATGTGGAAGCATTTGTGTGAAACAAATTACTCTGATGATCTGTTCTAGCCCAAAGAATCCAGAAAATGAAATGAATAGTCCTACCATAACATTTAAAGAAGTAAAAACACAAAATAAACAAAACCCCCAAACCTTGAATGTCTTCACCTTTGACCTAATGGCTGGCATTTCACCTCCCTGTAGACTTCTTATAGTAAACAAATAGGTTCTGTTGAATTCCTCAGATTATGGAACCCTGCCTTTGGAATTGTGGGTCAGTGCTAACATCCTCGCATAATAGAAAAAAAAAAAATACAAACCACAGAAAGACTTTTCTCATTCAATTCAATAAAAATGTTTTTCAAAAGCTTTTTGCATTAGGTTCAAAATCAAGGGCCTGTAAGCCTCATGATTTTGAATGAGATTCCAGAAGAAAGAAATGTGCACTAAACACCACATGCTCCATTTTATTCCACCTACTGATGGCCACCTTGAAGTAGAAACTCTTTTCCTAGTCTTCTGGTTGAGGAAACTAAGAAACTAAGTTAACATGCTCAAGGTGACCTGTTAACATTGTATCCAGCCAGGAATAAATGATCCATTTTGCATATTCAGAAATAAATGACAAGGTCTATAACACTTTGTTTTATAGCTTTTGTAGCTAAAAATAGTGTTATGATAAAAATCTATTTTAAAATTATGTTTATAAATTGTGGAAGGTAAAGAATTAAGACAGATTGGTAATAATGGCAGAGGTAGAAATTTTTAATAGTATTTTTAATACTATTTTAATAGTATAAATATAACTTAGAAAAAAAGAGTAAAAAAAGAAATAAATATTCAATATTTGGTCTTGAGGAGCTAAAAATCAGGATTTGGTACAGGAAGCAATTGTATGTGGTTGACTAGGCAATGGAAATCATAACAATTAAATTTGGAGTTCTAGCAAGATTTGGAAAACCAAACAATTCATCACAATTTTTAAATGGAATTATAAATTATCTAAGATATAAAATATATAGCCTTGAAGTTGAAAATAGTTAATAATTGCTTAAGAATATACATTTATACCAAAAATAACTATAAATATCTAGCAAAGGAAAATCTCAACAAATGCTGGATAAACTAATAGGGATAACAAGCACTTTAATTTTTTGCATAAATACTTTTGCAATAATCATTATAATAATGCAATTTCTATGTAGACAATTTCAAATAAAACCACAGTAGATTTGCTTCTATTTTCTTTATATTAGTGTACATATTTTTAAAAATTGAGATGAGAGATATATAATGCTTTATGTTTTCACTTTTTCTGATTAATGTATCATTAGATTGTGGAAATCAATAAGAAATAAGAAAATTCCTATTCTGTCTGTGTATAAAAAGATCCAGTTTTAAGCACTCAAGAACAAACACAAATAGACTTGACTAAAAATCTTAATAAACTTTAAAAAACACAATGTGCTAAGTCTACCAAACATGGGCAAAAACCAACTAGAAAGCAGTGGGGCAATGTAAAATTTGTACTCATAAAGGATAAGCAGATGACCGTTAAAAGTTAACAGTAAGGTTTTTGGCCTTACTGCCAAAGACTTTGGATATACCTACACCACTGCTTTCTTTAGAAATGCCTAAGTCCAAGCTCAAGTACTCAAAGTATCTTTTCAGAATCTGGACAACAGAGTGAGACTCTGTCTCAACAACAACAAAAACCAACCAAACAAAGACAATCCTAAACATAAACAAAACACTGGGAATCAAAAATCACCCAAGAAATCGCGAAGAATTCAAGGGCCAAGTTAGAAATCTTGCTGGAGATATACTAGCTACCATCAAAGAGAACTGAAGATTGTTGATACTATTCTTGTTAATAAGGAGAGCCATATAACAAAGTCACATTCCTTATTAGTGAGCACTGGCTTGCCATGATACATGCTCATTGCTATAAAAGTAAGCTGTGGAAAGAACAGCTTTGCTCTATAAGGACAATTGTTACTGAGTAAATACACATGTTAAATCTTTACTAAGATTATAGGCAAAAGCAATTTAAATAATATAAATTAAAAAAAACAGAATCTAGAAGAAAACTAAAGGTACAGATAACTGACATTTCTGGATGAGTATAAATATTTGGCTTTTTTTAGGGACATGGGCTAGAAGAAGTTTCATTCTTGTTTTTTTATAAATTATTGGAAAGATAAAGTTAATAATGATACTACTAAGCCTTTCAAACTGAAAAGCTAAAGTAAAAGAAATAAGCTACAGGAAAAGTGCACAAGTTTATCAGAAAAGACTGAAAATAGCACATGACTTCATTATAAAGAATTGCATTGAGAGAGAAAATAACCCCCAAATGAATGGATTTGATATTTCTGGCCTACACTTTTGGTTGCAAAGAGATTTATTTGCAAGGCATTGTAGATTATTTGCTAATGAAATCAGTATTACAGAGCTACATAGCAAAACTTTAAGATGACTAGATTTTATCATTCATTCAGCAAATTATTATTGGGTCACATACTCTTCTTGGTAGTTGGCATATTATATCAAAGAACACAACAGAAAAAAAATTACTGCTTTTTTGGACCTTACTTTTCAAAGTTTCTGTTAATGATGACAAAAATTGTGACATTATTCTGCTTCTGAACAAATCTACAGTGGATTTGCAGTCAAGTTCCTTAATAAATATGTGTTGGAAGAGCTAGTGAAGGTCAACTCAACTATTAAGAAGATTTATTGCTGTAAGGTAAAGTCAAAAATCAGTAGATCTATTTGAAAAATAGAAATAGTTTCAAAGAAAGTGTTAATAAAATCATGGAATAAGTTATGCAAACAATTCCTCTTCTCAAAAGCAATTAGGGGCCAAGTTGTGATCCATACGAGTATCTAGTGTTTTATGTCTCTCTCTCTCTCTCTATATATATATATATGTATATGTATATATAGCTTTGAGCCATTTAGATGATTTTAATAAATGTATAGAATTAGGGAGGGTATGAGAAAGAGATTTTTTTTAACATGTAAATCTTTTGGAAAAAAATCTTTTTTAAAGAGATCCTCTTTGATGGCCAGAGATAAAAAGTTGTAAAAAATTTAAGAGGAAGTTTAGTGAAATTCAAAAACCAACCAACCAACTAAATAAAAAGACTCGTGAGAACCCAGATGCAACATGGCAGGTCCAAATGAAAGTACTGAGTGAGGATAAGAGAGAGGAGACAGTCCCAAGCAAAACAGTACAAAACAAAACAGATGATCTAGAGAAAATCCAGAGAAAAAGAAACCCAAGAAATGCTGGTGGAGATGGTGGTGGCACAACCTCGGGGAGCCAGAAGGATGAACGCTAAGCTTGGAAACATTTTGGAATCTATTTGTAACATTGACAGGGTATTGAGCTTAAAGACATAGCCACAGAGTTGGTTGTTACTTAGACAGCAGTTTTCATTTAAAAGTAAAACAAGTCAGGCATAGGACCTATAAGAAAAGAATACTTCTACTTTGGAA